ATAAACAGGCCATCACTTTCAAGAAGGTCTACGTCGACGAGGAGGCCACCGCCAAAATCATATCGGTCCGCATCATTGATGATCGTGGAGGCAGTGTGGTCTTCGGCGGCGGACAGGCGAAAGTATACGTACAGAACCAGTTGGTGCTGACTGGAAAGCGGGATGGGGACTTGTATCCCGTCTGCTACAGCAGTGGAGGTACGGGAGCTCTGAAGTGGACGCAGCGTGAAGACAACAGGATACCTTCTGGTGGTGATGCAGTGTGTGCTGCCGTGGGTATCGGAGCTGAACGTGCAGCACTTTGGCACCGAAGGTATGGCCACTTAGGATACAGCAACCTTGAGGCGTTGCTGCGTCATGATATGGTAACTGGGTTCGATGTTGACCGACACAGCATACAATCAGCCAGCGTGTGTGTGTGTGAGACTTGCGTCCTTGCAAAGCATACACGTGGTCCTTTTCCGTTAACTGGGCATAAGGCAGCGCAGCCTCTCGCGCTCATTCACATGGATGTGTGTGGACCTATGCCTGAACCTTAGTGGTTCGCGTTACGTGACAACTCTGCTTGACGACCATACTGGTCTTTCAGCTGTTGCGTTTACAGCGACCAAGGAGGAGGTCTACCAGAAGATGGTGGTAATGATAGCGGGACTGGAGCACGCTACTGGCAGGCAGGTTAAGGAGGTGTTGAGGAAACGGTCCTCTCCCAACTCGTGTGGTTGTCGACCAGGGGATTTGACCCCGGGTCTGCGCCTGACTATTGGGGAAGACTTACCCCAGAACCTTATGGGGCTACCAATGCATATCCGGTAGGTAAGTGATAGACATTAGGGCACCGTCTGGACGGCGCAGTGAGATCGCGGAATGTACGTGCAGTTAGATCGCGGAATGTACGAGTTTTCCGCTAGCGCCGGTATTTAGGGCGGTGACTGCGCCTATTAGTTTATCTCACAACGATCGGTATTCCTACCAGGAATCTCCTCAAGTCCTGCCGAACGCTAACAATACTCTT